CACAGCTCCCACACCCCTTTCCCTAGGGTCCCCCTTTTCCAGAACTCCACCCCCCCAACAGGGACTGCAGCCCAAGAGAGCTTTACCTCCATGAGGAGGACCATGACGTTGAACTTCCCCACGTTGAACTGGGGTCCCACCGACTGGTAGCTGTCGAGGGTGGTGAGCTTCCAGACGGCAATAACAACTTGCTTCTCCAGGGGGATGGCGGGCTGCAGGTGGGTGTCATTTCTCTGGAGGATGGGGAAAGCCAGGCACACAGCTCCAAGAAGTTTCCTTCCGTATGCGGAAGTTGTTGAGCCACTTCTTGTCGTCCCACCACTCCATCACCAGCCTGTTCCATCAGTCAGAACTGGTGTCCAGCCTCCAGAATCATCTCTTGACTGGGGGTGTGGGTGCAATGGCATTGCTTCCACACCCAGGCAAAGGGACTCAGAGATGAGCTCAGAGTCAAGCTGGAGCAGGATCATCAAGTCGGTCTGCTGAAACTGCTGCATAACTTGCAGCATGGCTGTGTGGGGCCATCAGATGCCCAGGGGTAGATCCGGCTGCATAGCAAAACAAAACAAAACAAAAAGATTCTGTGCATCCAACATACCTGGGCAACTAGAACATGTGCTGCTAAATCTTTGCTGTCCCTTATAGAAATAGGCAAGCACACAGCAGAACCTGAGAAATGGCTTTCCCGGGGGTCCTTTTAAGCACGTATCTCAGATAACCTTAGGCAACAGCACCCGGAAGCAACTGCTGACCTATTGCACTGGCTGAAGTGGTTCCAAGTGGTCTTTTATGTGAGAGAGCATCCAATCAGCATGGACACTCTCTTTTGAAAAAGTAGATCACTTTTTCGATGCTCTTGTGCCGTGTGGGCACTCTTTCAGAAGAAGTTTTTTTGGAAGATCTCTTCTTTGCAAACTTGAAAGGCAATGCTCATGGCACATTTTAAAATGTTAGAAGATATTCTCCTACATCTACTCCCCAGTCTTCATGTCTGATCCCTTAACTTCCTTAATTAAGTTCTCAGGGTTAATTATCAATAGACACTTTTTGCAGGGGGAGGTTATATATTTTAATAAAAATTCTGAAAAGAATATTTGATGGTACATTTAATCCTTAGTTAAAGGGATAGTCTCAAATAGAATGATTAACAAATTAAACTTCTAAAAAGTTGATATTGATCATGAATATATTAGGAATGTGAATTACAGTTGATCAACAGGTAAATTCAAGGATTTGAAACACCTAATTTGAAAGGGAAAAAAGGAACAGAATTTTAAAAATGTAAATGAATAGACTATTTAATTGGGCTTTAGACTAGTTTTCTTTTACTTTGAGACTGTTTTATAAACTACTTTCACTTAAAGGGTGTGTCTAATGGAGCGATGTAGATTAGGCTGATCGGCAAAGGGAAATGAAGCTACGATTTAAATAATCGTGGCTTCATTTAAATTTAAATGGCTGCTGCGCTGAGCCAACAAACAGCTAATCAGCTGTTTGTCGGCTCAGCGCACTAGTCTAGACGCTCCCGCACCGACCTGAAAGCCCTTTATCGACCTCCCCGTTATGACTCATAGAATGAGGTTTACCGGGGAAGTCGATAAAGGCCTTTCATGTCGGTAGGGGAGCGTCCAGACCGCCCCCACGGCTTAGCGTGGCAGCCATTTAAATTTAAATGAAGCTGCGATTATTTAAATCGTGGCTTCATTTCCCTTTGCCGAACAAACAAATCTACTTGGCTCCGTCGATGGAGCCATGTAGTTTAGACGTACCCAAACAGTATCAGTCTGCAGCATGTACTCAAGGAAACTTTCTCTTTGAGCAAATAAAAAGTTATTGTGTGTACTATGCAACAGTCACATCTGTTCTGTCTCAGAATGAGTCCTGAGATATAACTCCTTCATGGACTTACATTAAAAGACAAACATACTAAGTAGTTTTTAAAAACTGCTGCAGTCGATATTTAGTGGTTCGATTTCATGGGTGTAGTGTATACCTGCTAGACCAAACCCGAAGGGTGCCACCATCAGCACCAGTACTGCTACTCCTCTTGCTGTGTGGATGAGGATTTAAGACACACTTACTTCAGCTACATAATTTACATCTCTGGAGTTGCGTATCTTACTTTGACCTTTCCACGTAGTCTAGACCAGACCCTAAAGAGGACTTTGAGTTCTTTGGAGATTTTTGATCTGTCTCCACTAGACATAACATCTGTAGAGTAAATATCCTGGTTTTGAAATATATCTGGTGAAGTATGCACTTGGACTTTTTCTACACAATCTTTTCTCCTGCCCTCTTTCAGATGATATGGGTTGATGTCAACATAATATAACCTATTTTAACTATAATGTCTGCTCCTTGCACCCTGGTTCACTTGAATCATACATACATCAGGGAGGAACTATAATCTCTTTCGGGCAGGGACTTTCGCTTGCTGTATATTTGTACAATGCCTAGCATAATGGAGAACTGACCAGTAATCTGTATGTATTCCACATGATAAGTATTACTAATACTCCGGATGGTTTTAGGAAGTATTAAACCAATTGTTTTCTTTACCAATGGTTGTTCTTTCTTTGGTTACAGTTTGGGGAATATAATTCTAAATGGAGGGAATAATAGACAAGCCAATTTTAGTCTGAATGGGAGCCTCTGCCTTCTTTTCTTCTGGATTGTCCCCTCTCTTTCCAATGATGCTAATCTGGCTCATTCCTCTGGCCTCCTGATGCATCTGATATCTATTGGCAAAAATTATGCATTTCCTCGAAAAAAATTCCAGCCACTTCAGCCTCAGAACAACTATAATTCCCAAAAGCTTGTGGCTAAAACAAGTGCTTCTTTCCACATGCCATCGTGAGCAATTGTATTTGAGATTGTATAGTGAATGCCAGGTCTCTGACTAATAGACCGACACGCCAACCTGTCACAATATACATTATCCTTATTCTGGAAGCTAATTGATACCTCACAACAGGTCATGTTGAAGTCACAAAAGCTCATCCTGAGGAGCCATAACTTTAACCCGCAGACTATGTTTGAATTCTCTTGGTTTATGGAAAAAAAGAGAAAAAAAGGACATTCAGGGCAAGATTTTCAACAGTGTGTTGTGATTTGAGGTGCCTGAATTTTCAGATGTCAAACTTAGTACACTTTAAAAGGGCCTAAATTTCATAAAGAACTGTACAGCTTCTCTCTGAAAAGCAGGCTCAGTTCCACAAATTAATAGGTTTTAAGATTATTGTGAATATCTAGTCTGATCTCATACATTACACAGGCCATGGAAAGCCAACCAGAAATTCCTGCATTAAGCCCATATCTTGTGATTGAGCTGAAGCATGTTCCTTTAAAAGGGATTCAAAATGGCTAATATTTGGCACCCAAACCAGAAACACCCTAAATCACTATTGACATCTGAAAATCTTGCCTTTAGGGCTTTGTTTATTAGAAGGCACCCTAACAAACATCATGTAAGCAGTGAACCAGTTTTCAAAGGATTGGGGCACCTTCAATGGATTTGAGAGCTACATTTCAGGCCAGAAAGCAACCTTAGCATTTCAGTGGCTGCCTCAGGGATATTTGTAGGTGAGTATTTTCTACATAGTTTAGGAATCTGGGCTCAAAACTCCTTGATGATCTGATTATGGCCAGATCTGCTATGAAAACCATTTAATGATACAGAGCTCTATTTCTGCTTCTTAATCCAAACTTCTCCTTCTTGTCTTCACAGTGGGTATCTCCCACCTCTTCTTCCACTTGCTGGTGGCTTTTCTCTGTGGGTATGTCTAGACTGCATCCCTCTGTCAGCAGAAGGATGCAGATTAGGCAGGTTGACATTGCAAATGAGTCAGGGATTTAAATATCCCGTGCTTAATTTGCATAAAAATGGCCTCCGCGTTTTGCAGACTCAGCACTTTGTTGGCAAACTGCGTCAGTCTAGAGGGGGATCTGTCGAGAAAGAAAGCCTTTTTCGACAGACCCTGTAAACCTCCTTGCAGGAGGCATAAGTGATCTGTTGAAAAAGGCTTTCTTTCTCCACAGATCCCCCTCTAGACTGCCGCCTTTTGCTGGCAAAATGCTGAGTCGGCAAAATGCGGCAGCCATTTTTATGCGAAATAGACGCGGGATATTTAAATCCTTGCCTCATTTGCAATGTCGACCTACCTAATCTGCATCTCTCTGACGACAGAGGGATACAGTCTAGACATACCCTATGTTGGGGAGATCTGTTTTTGTGTTTGCACTGCCAGATCTCGAGATAGCTACTACCCCTAATGTTGCCTAGCTGTGCCAGTCCAGCCAAAACATGAGTCAGTTGCAGCTGCTGGTTGCTATCTCTTTGCTTGACAGTTAAAGAGATGACCAATTGTGTAGAGAGGGCAGCATGAATGGAGGTGCAAGATGCTTCAAAAGTATATTATAGAAGCTCCTTGTCTGGGCTAATTTAAAACTGGCCGGGAAAGTGCTAGACAATTACTGAAAAGAACAATCCTGTACTGGCTGAGAGATGGATTTGTAGACTGAATAAGGGTTTTGGTTTTTTTTAAATCTTAGTTCTGCAATTTCAGCACTCTGAGTCTCAGAGCTATCAGCAAGCTCCAGTGGTGCACCAAGCAGATAGTTGGCTGTTCAAGTACATAGATGGTTTTTGCCCTTGAGGCATTTTAAAGGCAGGAAGAGAAAGGAAAATGTTGTTGCTGCATGTGCAAAGGTTGAGAAAACTCCAGTCTTAACTACTGGCCAGCAACCAATACCCAAAAGGATCCACTCAGTCCTTCAATCACACAATTGCAGCACCCACAATACATAGGAGTAATTAAATAAGATCGTTCAGCTGGGCTAATCTCCTCCTTGTTCACAAAACAAATCTGGTCCCCAGTGAAGACAGGAAGCTCCTATATTCTCATCACTGTAAAAAGGAACATGGCCTTTAATATATAAGAATATGTAACTTTAGTGTACTCTAGTACAAAAAGATCATATTTAAATACGTTTGTTAAAAACCTGCTTTCAAAAATGCCACCAAGCTCTCTACTCCTTCAGAAAATCTTAAACATATATTAAGACGTCAATGCTGTATTTTTTAAAATAAAATGATAATTTAAATGTTTAAAATATTTTCTGTGTGTAAAACAAACAAACAAATACAAGTGTTAGGATTTCAAGTTTCTAAACGTGTTATATCAGTTGAAGGAGATCTGAGATAAAAAAAACTGGGATGTAACAAATCCGACACTTTTGTAGTTATGGGAATAATACGTTTTGTTCCATCAATGTGTCCACTTTACATTATTCAGCACAAAGCTTTACGAAATAAGAATCATGGGAATATCACAATATAAAAGAAAAAGGTACAAATAACAGCTTCATAAACTGAGCAATGTACATAAATAAATCATGCAGATGGGGGCAGTTTGCTTAGCTAGCAAGAAACAAAATATGGAAAATCTGCTTGTTAAACAATAACCACAGAGTGTGCTTTTATGATGTTTTTTCACCACAGTAATTCATATTAGAGATAGAAGCAGTTGCATGTTAAATAAAATCATTCAGCATTGTTCTCCTCGCATTACAAAGAGCTGACTTATGTTGTTTTTAGATGCCTCCCATTAGAAAGTAAATATTCCTTTGATGTTATACATTTCACAAAATTTAATAAAGATGAACTGTAAATAAAGTCACAGGGAGATTTCAGACAGTTTTATTAGCAGATTGTTGAAAAGAAAAAGAAAATTAAATACAGTAACAGTAAACGTGGTTCTCACATTGAAACCAGGCTCCAATAACTAGACTACCATAGAAAAATTTCCAATTCTTGCATTATGATGTAAAAACAGATTTTTGTACAGATTTTGTACAACAAAATTCGTAATAACCTTTTATCATTTTTAGAAAACTTTAAATATATAGATAAAAATAGACAATTTTCATAGGTCCTACATGAAGATGAGAATGTTCTGTTCCAAGGGCTTGCATAGAGCGCAAATGTGGTTATATTATAGAACAACTAGACATTAATATCTTTAAGATTACAAAATCATATAAACAATAACATGAGCACAACTTTTCTTCATAATCTATGCAAAAACAAACAAAAACAAAACAAACAAATTTTAAAAAACCAGCAACCCAAAACTTGTGTAACTAAAAAGGGGCAAAAATTCAACTTCCGGTGACATTTCATGAATTGTAATATTTACACCATTTTATTAAGCTCGTAATATCCATCTTATAAATTGCTTCCCCCTTATTCCTTAACATTTCCATTTTTGTACCAAGCCAAACACTGAGGCATTCCTAAATGTCTTGAAAGTATATAGTGTAAAATTATGAAACTGACTTACAGGTGACTCTATGCAAGGAGCAGAGCAATGGCAGATGCTACTACATATTTCAGTTGTAGGCTTTTAATTCTCTTTCAGATATGAATGATTCACAAGCTTGCCACAAGTCCATCAAAATTTACAGCTGTTAACCCTTTAAAGACTGCATATGAAAAAAAAAACTAGTGTACAGAATCTCTGAAGTATTGAAGTAACTATGAAAGATGATTAAAAACAATGTTACTATAAAGTATTTGGGAATAACAATATTTAATGAAAATATTGCTCAATATTTCTTTAAAAATTACCATAATGTGAATTTGTATATACAAATTTCCTATTCTTAGAAAAGGATTATGATGGGATAAATATGGGTGTACCAGCATTGCAAGGAAAAACCTACAAAGCATAGAAGTGCAGAGTGAGTGTTTACAATTCTTTAATGCCTTTGTACTTTAATATCCAATCAGAACTATTTTTTAAAGGAGAATTTTTTTTAAGTTAGGCATCTTAGATATTGAAGATTTGGATATGTTTCCATGTAATAAATAACATTTTATATGTATACAACAATAGAGAGGAAGAAAGAATAATCACAAACTTACAGTAACAATGCTGATTCACAAAATCAGTCTTTAAAGGGTAACTCAAAATTATGCAAAGCATCATGTTAGTATGTAATAAGCAGTGTGTTGTAGCTTACTTTCAGTTATCAGCACAAAGGTGAAAACACATTTTAGCTTTCATAAAGACAGTGAAAATAACACATAACCACCTTTCCCTAAGATAAGGTGAGGGAGGGACAATAGACTTCAACTGTATCACTCAGCTCTACGTGGTATTGGACTGATACATCAAGTGTCTGTTAGGTTTTCTTTTTAGTAACATTGACGTAATATGACATTAACATATAAAAATAGTTCTGGTGTTTTGACTTGCTGCTCAGCCACAGTCCATTCTTAAAAGTGCTGTTTCAGGGCACTAACCAGGGCTTAATATACAAATAAAAGTGGCTGATACAGAATTCTGACTCATTACCAGATGCTTAAGATCTCATTCATTAATACTGTGACTCCAGGACAAATATTTACATGCCTGCATGCGTTAAAACTAGAAAGGCGTCTTTCTGACAAACAGGGTGACAAAACATGTTATCTAAAATGTTCATTTACCTAAACTCTAGTATTCTACTGCATACATAATACCTTCCTGGTGTGGTCTGTGTTTATATACTGTACATGTAACCAACAGTTTGAATAAGAAGCAAAGTATTTTTCCCCCATAAGCCCCTGCCAGTTTAAAATGAGAAATTATTACTCGTTTTATTTTTTTTATGTTTATTTTAGGAAATGAGACTTTGTGAACAGTAAAACAGTTTTGCTTACATTCAGCATTTCTTTTCTCTTAGACAAAATTTCATTTTACTTCATGTGGTCTAGCATCCATGTGTTGGTCTCCTGGAAAGCGTGTGGCAAAAAAAAAGTCTTTAGAAGAAAACCTACTTTCGCAGAGTTGAAAATTGAATACAACAGGGTTTTTTTTCCTTTTATTTTTTTTTCTAGGAATCCTCGTATGCCCCCATACAAGTTTACTTTTGAGCTGTCTTGCTGGTTTAGGTATGACATAACAGTCCGTAAGTGTAGGTGGACACTGCTGGAAGGATTATTTGATGTGCTCAAATACAGAATCATCAGAGGAGGACAGATGTTTCATTCCATTAAAAAGGGAATGTTAGGCCTTTTTCTGATTGGTCTGTAAGTTTGTATACAAGGGTCCAATAGCAAAGCTACAGTTTTTGACTGTTAGAAGAGCACAACTTGTACATTTATAAACATTCTCTATGTCTCTGGTTTGAGCCACAGATGATAATCAATGGAGGACACTCTTGCAAAATTCTTTAAACTTTTGAAGAACATGGATACACAAAGTTAAGGAAGTTGCCTTGAAAACACTTTGTTTTTGTAGAACTTCCAAATAGTGAACATCTTACTGCAAAGGTCTTTACTGCAGCACAAATTGCTTCAGTGGGAAAAATTCAGTACATGACTGTCGTTTTCAAATAAAGTCTTCCATCTAAAATAAGAAAACAAATATTTTCTTTAAATATTCATTCCTGTACTATATCAACAGAAATAGCAGATAGTTTGTAAAATGTATAATGTAAAATGTCATGCATTACAAAGCTATTTTAAATAGCAATGTTCTCAAGAAATATGCACTTACATATATTCAAAATTAATTCCATTAACAATTACACAGAGTTAGCAAGTTCTGAACACTGCAACTGTTCCAAATACCTGCAAATCATATCAATGCATGGAGACTAGGAAAGTAAGTGGACCTTCTGTGCATGTGTTTTTTACTGATTACCTCCTTCATGGTTACAGAGCAAAAATATTCCCGAATGCAACCATGAGTACTCCCATCACTAAAGGCATAGTTTATAACTTACACTGTAGCTGTGTTGTTAAATATACCATGTAATGTAACCACTGTGCACATTTATAGTTATTTATACAGAACCCAGTATAGGATATTTAATCAGCATCAGTGAGCCTTTTCACCCATAAGTGAGATTAACTTAACAATTACTATGTTAAAGATGCAATCACATAACTCAACTTTTGCCACCCAATAGAGAAATAGACATTTAAGTGGTGGTGGTGGGGAACCATGAGTAATAACTAATAAATTCTTTGAGTTGGTAACGCTGGAAATAAAAGCATTGAGATGCATAGAGTCTTCTGCCCAAAAGTATTGCAACCTGATTTATAAGTATAAAGCAAAGCCTACTGTTTTATGAGTATAAGATGTAAAATATATAGCTCTATGTGTGTATATATATATATATATATATATTTCAAAGGGGAAATAAACAAGTTTGTGATTAAAAAGTGTAGGTTCTCTGGCTCTAAACTACAGAAATTAAGAGGAATTGTGAAGTGCATTATTCACATACCATGAATAATTATAAAATATCCAGCCTACCCATGAACCTCAGAGCTCTACAGTACACACTTGTATTTGCATATGCAACACAGAATTCTATTTTGTTTAATACCCCCCACCCCCAATATATCAACAGGTATTAGCAACATGTTTTTCAATTTGACCTGGTTAATCTGAATTAGCCTGTAAAATTCACATTAGGAAAAATTAAGGTCCACAATTCAGTGCAATGCAAATTTTTTGATGGCTAATTGAGTCTTTAAAATACTCCAACATCTGCATAAACCCCCTGCATCAGCGAAATTATCATATTATCAGTACTGAGAGAAACAAAGAGAAGTTTCACTGAAGAGCACAAATGGAACTGACCATATTCTGTCCTAAGGGCACCCCTTCCAACCACACTGTCAAGCTCCTGTGGTGGCTGCATTGGGAGAAAGGGCAGACATAGCACCTATTTATCTTTTCCATCTAAATTTCCTTTCTCCTCTATTCTTAATTTAATTTTGCATTACTGTACTTTTCCTGATCTTTTCTCCCTTTCACTCCTCCTACAGCCTTCCACCACTTACTCTCTGAACCATTTCAGTGTCCTCTTTGCTCTTTATGTTCTTTGTGCACTAGAGATGAAAAGAAATGGAAAAAGGACTCAACCTGAAGGCTTTTTATTCTTTTTATTCATTCTCACAATGTTTGTGAGAATACTGGGGGGCAGGAGAGAACGATTACGTGAAACTAGCCTGGTAAACATCAAAACTCGAGATCTGGTAAAACACTTAAAAATTGTAAAGCTTAGATGGCTGGGCCCATTACTAGCTACAGTTACATATAATCCCTCCCACATATATTGAAAAAATAGTCACTAAAGCTGTCTCGGTACTTCTGTAGGAGAATTACTATACAGTATGTATCAGTACTTTAGATATCTTGAATGTGTGCATGCTAATGAGTGATAGGCATAATTCTTAGAACTAACCTAAATTCAGTGACTTACATTTTATTTGACTCTACTTGATCTCAGCATTCCTTTAAATAAAATGTTTAGTTTCAAATATTCTCAATTAAAACATGTGCATAGGGTGCTGAATTCTTCTAATCATTGGCATGAGACAAAGTATATATAGACAACAACAGAACATTGAATAAACCATTGCTTAAGGAGCCGATCTGGCACTGATGTCAATGGGGAGTTATGTTTTAATGGGAGCAGGAGCAGGCCTTGCACTTCCCATCTAAAGTCAAGATAAAACAATATTTATGAAGGTCTTAAAAATCAGTCTTAAAAAACAATGCATATTTGTTTTTAAAAGTTGCTACCTTTTTTATCTATGATGATTATATATGATAAAATATAAACCGTAGAGGTCCTCAACCAGCCTTATGGTGGACCATAAAATGTGCTATAAAATACCTTTATATTGATAATGACCTTAAAATACTAGATGTAAAATAAGTATCTGATCTAATCCTATTGTTTAGGTTCCTTAATACATCTATATTCTCTATTAACTTGACTAATTCTCCTAACAGATGGACAAATGTAGCAAGCATTAAATATGTCAGCTGTAAAATATATGCCACCTGCCATGGCTACTGTAGATTATGCACTTTGAAGATTAAGTCTACTTTGTAAGATTTTACACACTTCCAGAACTTGCAAATATTTTATTTAATTTTTCAAAACTTACAACAGGAAGGATAAGATGCACAAATAAACAACTTTCCTTTAGGACTCGTTCTCCCAAATGGGCTTTAAAAATATAATACCTGTGCCAATGCACTCTTCTCATGATGCTGCTCATGGTGAATTTACAAGCAGGAGAAGGAGAGGGAGTTTTGGTAGATTTTATGTTCTTCTCCAACTACACAATCTATATACTGCAAATCATCTCATGAAACTACTTGCAAAGAACAAATGAGAAACTAGCTCTCCATCTGTGGGATTTGGCGACATCAAGCCACAGGAGTAAATGTTAGATGATCTGTGAGTTACTGTAGCGTCACATTATGATCTAATATAGCTGATCTAAAGTAGTACTTATATCCTCATCTCCCCTTTCCTTTCCCATCCCATTCAGGTCTGACTTTTCATCCCTCCAAGCTCCAGTTGGAGTAATTGTAGCTTACCAATTTTGTTATCAAAATGAGGCTGGCCTTATGAATATGCTGACAAAGTTCTTGTTTAGATCCCACTTGGGTGTTAAGCTTATTCCCCAGGAAAAGCAGGAATACAGATTTCAAAATAACCAGTCCATTATAAGTGTGGACAATTCACTTATTATTTCAAAATAAGGGGGGTTATTTCTAAATAACTCCCTAGTGTAGACCTGTGCTGATAGTTTATCTATGCCTTGCATGTACATTATATTACATTTATTAAATGTAGTATATATAGATTGTATATACAGGCACACAAAGATATCATGTATACCATTAACACATGTCCCAACTCTGCCTACATATCTATACCAGCGACACCATCACAGGACCTAACCACATCAGCCACACCATCACGGGCTCATTCACTTACACATCTACCAATGTAATATATGCCATCATATACATCAGCCAAACTGGACAGTCCCTACGTAAAAGAATAAACAGACACAAATCAGATATCAGAAATGGTAATATACAAAAACCTGTAGGAGAACACTTCAATCTCCCTGGACTTTAAAAAACAGACTTTAAAGAGAAACTGGAGAGCTACAATTCATCTGCAAATTTGACACTATCAGTTTAGGATTAAACAAAGACTGTGAATGACTAGCCAACTACAAAAGCAGTTTCTCCTCTGTTGGTGTTCCACACCTCCACATCAGCTGCTAAAAGGGGGCCTCATCCTCCCTGACTGAATTGACCTCGTTACCTCTAACCTTACTCTCGACTGGAACTTTTTTTTTAAGTCTGTATATTTATACCTGCCTCTGGAATTTCCATTACATGCATCTGACGAAGTGGGTCTTTACCCACGAAAGCTTATGCACCAATATATCTGCTAGTCTATAAGGTTCCACAGGATTTCTAGTTGTTTTTGCAGATTCAGACTAACACGGCTACCCCTCTGATACCTAACACATATATGAAACAAAATACAGGACTATGTAGCACTTTAAAGACTAACAAGATGGCTTATTAGATGATGAGCTTTCGTGGGCCAGACCCACTTCCTCAGATCAAATAGTGGAAGAAAATAGTCACAGCCATATATACCAAAGGATACAATTTAAAAAAATGAACACATATGAAAAGGACAAATCACATTTCAGAACAGAAGGCAGATGCAGGGTGGGGGGGAAGGAAGGTGAATGCCAGTGAGTTAATGATATTAGAGGTGGGGAAGGGTAGATGTCTGTGAGTTAATAGTATTAGAGGTGATAATTGGGGAAGCTATCTTTGTAATGGGTAAGATAGCTAGGGTCTTTGTTCAGCCCCCTACGGAGAGTGTCGAATTTTAGCATGAATTCAGAGGATTCCATTTCAAGTGCAGATTTCAATGTCTTCTGAAGTAGGATGCAGGTTAGCAGGTCATTGAGACAGTGTCCTTTCTGGTTGAAATGGCAAGCAACTGTTTTTTCTTTGTGATCTATCATTAACTCACAGGCATTCACCTTCCTTCCCCTCCTCCCCCGCATCCCTCCTTCTGTTCTGGAATGTGATTTGTCCTTTTCATATGTGTTCATTTTTTTTAATTGTATCCTTTGGTATATATGGTTGTGACTATTTTCTTCCACTATTTGATCTGAGGAAGTGGGTCTGGCCCACGAAAGCTCATCATCTAATAAACCATCTTGTTAGTCTTTAAAGTGCTACATAGTCCTGTATTTTTTTTCAGCTACACCAGACAACACGGCTACATTTCTATCACTATTTAACACATATATGTTATACCCCCCACAGACAAATATACAAGTAAGCTACAAAAATTCCTTGTTGCTCTAGGTACATGTCTGTAAAGATAGAGTGAATTTCTGTCACAATAACTGCACCACAATTAAGAAGAGGGGAGTTTGTCTGGGCTTACCAGAGAAGAACTGCTGTTTTATGGGCTGGAGGGGGAGGAGTCAGAGACTGCTGAAAGGAGCACTGACTGCCCTCAGGAATGTAAGATCCAAAAGGTATAA